ATGGAAGAGATGCATAGTGCAAGGCAAGTGGGAAGGGAAGCAGAACTTCTGTGCCCTCTCCGGGCGTGCCACCCTTCAGACACCTCCTAGTGTTCAGGAAACCCCGGAAGCTCTTCAAATCTTGTCTTTAAAGGTTTTTATGGAGACTTCATTAAATAGACATGATTGATTAAATCATGTCTCTTGGGAGCCCGGTCTTCAGTCTGTCCACCCCTTCTCTTTGGAGATCAAGGATTGGGGTTCGAAGTGCCAACACTCTAATCACATGGTTGGTTCCCCTGGCAACCAGCCACCATCCTGGGGCTATCCAAGAGTTATCTCATTAGAATAAAAGTTGCTTCTATCTCTCAGAAAATTCCAAGGAATTTAGGAATCCTGTGTCAAAAACCAAGACCAAAGACCAAATATTAGAACAGAATAATAATATCATGGTACCCTTATCTACAAAGATCTTAAATGGTCTCTCCCTCTCCAAAGGGCAGTGTGATTTTCTTTGTTTAAAAAATCCTTTTTGTTATGGTTGTTGTTCAACTTGCTGCCTAAACTCAAGCAGATCACTTAATCTTATTCCCAAAGAAACAATAATGCATTTCAGAACTGGGGGAGTCAGAGGAGGTGAACTGACTGTTGGGTGTGTTGATGTACTGGGGACACTGTCAGAGGCAGTCTGTGGATGTCCAAGTGGAAGTTTTGTTATACACAACTTTCTACAAACCAGGAAGGTGTGATTCCACCATGGTCAGTCTAACTACCTGTGGACAATGGAAGATGCCCCAGTGATCTTGCCCAAGGAAGGAGAGTTTTTCATTCTCCACTTCTTTCTAGATAATAACTCCCAAGTTTAACATCTCCATTACATCTTCTCATGTAACTGTTATTCTTACCAGCATGTTAGACTGATATTTATATTTACATTTTAATGCAAACAGATTCAAACTTGTTATTAATACATACTCAATATTAGAGCTCACTATCTTCCCATGTGACCCTGCTGACTCAAACTCTATCCTGACTTCTAGTTTAAATAATTCCACTTCTTTTTTTTTAACTTTTATTTAATGAATATAAATTTCCAAAGTACGGCTTATGGATTACAATGGCTTCCCCCCCATAACGTCCCTCCCACCCGCAACCCTCCCCTTTCCCACTCCCTCTCCCCTTCCATTCACATGAGGATTCATTTTCGATTATCTTTATATACAGAAGATCAGCTTAGTATACATTAAGTAAGGATTTCAACAGTTTGCTCCCACACAGAAACATAAAGTGAAAAATAATAGATGATTTTTTAAATGATGATGAAATCAGATCAGACCTATTGTCATGTTTAATCCCAGTGAGAGTCAAGTTGGGAATTGATAATTTCTTTCTTTTTTTTTTTTACAGAAGATCAGTTTAGTATACATTAAGTAAAGATTTCAACAGTTTGCACCCCCATAGAAACACAAAGTGAAATATACTGTTTGAGTACTCGTTATAGCATTAAATCTCAATGTACAGCACATTAAGGACAGACATCCTACATGAGGAGTAAGTGCACAGTGACTCCTGTTGTTGACTTTACAAATTGACACTCCTGTTTATGGCATCAGTAATCTCCCTATGCACCAGTCATAAGTTTCCAAGGCTATGGAAGCCCCTTGAGTTCTCCGACTCTTATCTTGTTTAGACAAGGTCATAGTCAAAGTGGAGGTTCTCTCCTCCCTTCAGAGAAAGGTACCTCCTTCTTTGAAGACCTGTTCTTTCCACTGGGATCTCACTCACAGAGATCTTTCATTTAGGTGTTTTTTTTTTTTTTTTTTTTTTTTTTTTTTTTTTTTTTTTGCCAGAGTGTCTTGGCTTTCCATGCCTGAAATACTCTCATGGGCTTTTCAGCCAGATCCGAATGCCTTTAGGGCTGATTCTGAGGCCAGAGTGCTGTTTAGGACATCCGCCATTCTATGAGTCTGCTGAGTATCTCACTTCCCATGTTGGATCACTCTCCCCTTTATTTATTCTATCGGTTAGTATTAGCAGTTACTACAAGGACTTGTAATTCCACTTCTGAGGCCGGCACTGTGGCGTAGCAGGTAAAGCTGCCACCTGTACCTATGTGGGTGCTGGTTTGAGTCCCGGCTGTTCTACTTTCCATGCAGCTCCCTGCTAATGCACCTGATGGAGCAACAGAGGATGGCCCCACTCCCTGGGCCCTTGCACTCACATGGGAAACCTGGATGAAAGTTCCGGGCTTCAGCCTGGCCCAGCCCTGGCAGTTGCAGCTGTCTGGGGGAGTGAATCAGTGAATGGAAGATTCTCTCTCTCTCTCTCTCTCTCTCTCTCTCTCTGCCTCTGCCTCTCTATAACACTATCTTTCAAATAAATCTTTTAAAAAATTTCTGCTCTGTTCACATGTTCCCAGAGGTCATTTTGAAAATTGTTTTTATCTCTGTCTCTCCAAACTTTCCAAATCCCTTGGAGACTAAATGCCATGTGAATCCACCACACTGAGAACAATTGCTTCCCAAATTCCACCCAGGGTCCTTGTTAAAATGTAGAATCTGATTCAATAAGGCTGGAATGAAGCCAGAGATCTTGTTTGTTTGTTTGTTTGTTTTTAAAGCTTTATTTATTCATTTGAAAGTCAGAATTACACAGAGAGAGAAAGAGAGGCAGAGAGAGAGAGGTGTTCCATCCACTGGTTCACTCCCCAATTGGCCGCAATGGTTGGAGCTCTGCAGATCGGAAGCCAGGAGCCAGGATCTTCCTCCAGGTCTCCCACACAGGTGCAAGGGCCTAAGGACTTGGGCCATCTTTTGCTTTCCCAGGCCATAGCAGATAACTGCATCGGAAGTGGAGCAGCCAGGACTCCAACTGGAGCCCATATGGGATGCTGACACTGCAGGCGGTGGCTTTACCTGCTACGCCACAGCACTGACCTCAAAACCACTATTCTATTATCTTTTATTGATTTTATGTTCTTATTCTTAGCCTTTGTAAATTACATTTTATTCCTGCACTCCTGCAACTTTTAGAATTTCCTTCTTTCCTGGGTTCTCTAAAATTTTACAGCAGTAAGCTTTATGTGGCTCTATGCATTCCTTGTGCTGCAAATTCTGTGGGCTATTTCAGTTTGAACACTGTTGTCATTTAGTGTGAGAACTGTTACTGTCTTGTTATTTTTAATAAACTATTGAAAACATATATGGGGCCGGCGCCATGGCTCACTTGGTTAATCCTCCGCCTGCAGCGCCAGCATCCCATATGGGCGCCGGGCTCTAGTCCCGGTTGCTCCTCTTCCAGTCCAGCTCTCTGCTGAGGCCCGGGAGGGCAGTGAGGATGGCCCAAGTGCTTGGGTCCCTGCATCCGCATGGGAGACCAGGAGGAAGCACCCGGATCCTGGCTTTGGATCAGCGCAACACCAGCCGTAGCGGCCATTTAGGGAGTGAACCAACGGAAGGAAGACCTTTCTCTCTGTCTCTCTCTCTCACTGCCTAACTCTACCTGTCAAAAAATAAAAAAATAAAAAAAAGAAAGAAAGAAAGAAAGAAGAAAGAAAACATGTAAAGAATAATAAAATAGATATCCACCAGCCAACTTAAAAATTCTAATTTTCAAGGAGAGTTGAAGAACCAGTTTCCCCACTTTAACTCCTTTCCTCTTGGTATCCACCCACCTCCCAGTGCAGAGGTCCTTGCTGTCTTGAATTGTGGTTTTTATTGTTCCCAAAAGTGCCTTTATATTTGCTACAAATGTGTATGTTCCTAAAACTTTGTATTATTCCTTATTATAATTTTAAATTTTATATACATGACATCTTAATGTACATATCTAATTGCAACTTAGTTTTCTTGTTCTTAAAAATATTTTCCAAACTCATCCCCATGTTTATTCATTGCCCTATATAATTTCAATTGCTGCAAAGCCTTTTAGTCTATAAATATACAAATATACTTAGTTATTTCCCTATTGTTATATACATTCTACCGTTATGAACAGTTGTGCTATAATCCTTCTCCAGTAAACACTCTTCTGTGTGTCTCTTTTTTTTTTTCACATGAATACAAGAAATTCTTTGACCTATAAAAGTATATATGACAAGAATTAATGAAGTATGGTTGATATGCATCTTATATTTTCCTAGATATTGAGAAATTTTCCTCCAAAGTGATTGTACCTATTCCCATAAACAGTATATAACTATTATAATTTGGTTGTGTCTTTGATGTTTCCTTTATTTCCTTTTCTTTGTTCTCTTTGTGGAACTTCTGTTAGTTTATTGTTAAAGTTCATGTATTAATTATTTCTTATCTTTTCTATTACTTTTCTATAACTTCTGTGCCTTTTCCATAATCTATGGGTAAATTTCCCTACTCCTAATCCCTTTACTGATTTGCCTGTTTACCTTATTATATTTTAAATTGTATATTATTATTTTCTGAATACTCCTTTTAATATTCTTGAATATAATTGATACAATATTGTTATCCGTAGTTTTAAAAACATTTAAAAGAGCTTTTTAATGAACACTTTCATATTCATACAAAGCAAGAGACAAAATTGAATGAACTCTCCAGTTATACATCACCTAACTTCAGTAATAACTAATATTTTTCCTATCTTATATCACCTGTTTTTCTCCTATATGCATACTTTTTTTCCTAAGGTCCTTAAATTCCAGGTAACATAGCTTCTTACTCATTAATACTTTAGTAAATTTCTCAAGAATATGAAAAGTTTTAAGTATAATCACAATATCCTTAACACAAAAAACAGAAATGATTTCTTAAAATATTTTCTTAATAAAACCCTATTTTCTTCTAAAATTTTAATTGCACATTTTGTGGTACAATGTAATAATTTCATGATTTCTCAAACTTTGTATATAATTGTTAAAACAATTAAGGAGGGAATGTTCAGTAATTGGAAGTATTTGGAAACATCTGCTTTAAGAGTTTATTGTTATAGAAACAGGTTTAGTATTAGATAAGAATGTGTAAGACAATAATTTCTTTCTCCCTTAGGGCTGTCACATGGTGACTGAAGAGCTTCATTCCATAACATTTGAGACACAGATTTGCCTGTATGGCCTGACCATAGATTTGGAGGTAAGTGTTTCAGTGAAAATCTTCTAGATTTACTAATAACATTTACAGGAATTGGTCAACATTTGTAATGAAAGTTCAGTCTTTTCTAGTTTTAAGTACATTCCCTATAAATTTTGTTTTAATTTATAAAAGCAATATGTCAAATATTCACTGAATAGTTAACATGCTATTCTGATTAATTATAAATGATACGATCTCATTGGTGTTATGAATTTGATATATGTTGAATAATTAGTTGCCCAATTTATGTTTTTCTTTTGTTTATTCTCTGGGATTTCCTGAGTCATGAATAATCAATAGAAAACCTAAAGAGAAATGAGTGTCCTTGAACCATCTCATATAATATGTGCCATATTTTAAAAAATTCAACTTGCACACAAAGCTATCTCAGTAGGAAAGTTTCTCTAGCACGGTGAGCAAAGACAAATGATAGAACACTAACAGTACATTACTTTGATGCTCTTGAACAAAAGAAGGAACAAATTTTTCATATTAAATTAAACGGGATTGCCCTGAAGGCAGGATACCATGCCTTGTTTGTCACTCTGTTGCCAGCACCTAGTGCGTGCCTCCCGTACAGCAGATGTTCAGTATTTGTTGAGTAAATGAACAAATGAGTGCATGAAGGAATAAACACAATTCCATACACCCTGAATATCATCCTGTGTGGAGTGGCTTCTTTTAGAATTTTGCTTTTGCTTTTTATAGCTTAATAAATATAAAGATTTTTTGTGGATTTCTTCCTACTTTCTTTTCCCTAAACCTCTGTTTCCATGAGCTGTTACGTTCCTTACCTGGGTGTTTTTCCCAATTTCTGTTCTTGGGAAGAGACTGCTGTAGGTGATTCGCTTCCCAGGCTGGCCTGTGAGAGCCCGTTGATTCCATTATGTAGTAAACTACAGTACCCACGGTCCTCGTCGTATTCTATTACAACAGACCAGGCAGCTCTGCCTCCCACCTTGTTAGTTCTCACAATAAAACTCCCATTTCCAGAACTGGTGTTATTTGAGTTTTGGGTCATCACTTGGATACACTGATTCCTTCTAGAGGTAAATTTAAAATTAGATTGTTTAACTTAAAAAGAGGATAACTGCTTAATCAATAAACTCTCTAATTGTATCTAAGGTCGTATGTGACTAAGAAAGGATAAATATGGTGATGTCGGGAAGCTAGTGGAGGCCGCCTCTGGAGCCCTCTGAAAGGGTTCCAGTTCTTTCCTCCCTGTACCCTGACTCAATGGGCCCCGAAAGTTTCACTGGCTTCACAAGTCAGTTTTGTGATCAGGGCACTGCACTGGAAGAGTGAGGCTGGTTTGAGATGGCTCTTTAGAGAAAAGGGAAAAGCATACGATCGGTTTAAGGTGGGACTATCTGTAATAGCTTTGTTGTTTGTTTTTTTTTTACCCAGACCAGCTCATTACCTGTGGTGATGATTTCCAATGTCAGTCAGTTACCTAACGCTTGGGCATCCATCATTTGGTACAATGTGTCAACTAATGATTCCCAGGTAGAGTATTCTTGCCTCTTCTCCTTTAATTCTATTTAATTTGTTTTATTATCAGCAAAAACCATCTCTGTGTGTGCATGTGTTGAGATGTCGTTTGGAGTTTTTTATTTCTAGTTTTTGATTCTTGTTTGGTCATATTTAAAGTCATATGTCTTTTTTAAAAATATTTATTTATTTGAAAGGCAGAGAGGAGACAGAGATAGACAGGGAGAGTTTCCATCCACTGGTTCACTACCCAATTACCTGAAACAGCTAGGGCTGGGATGGGCTGAAGCCAGGAACCCAGAACTCCACCCAGGTCTCCCATATGGGTAGCAGGGATCCAACCACTTGAGCCATCATTTGCTGCCTCCCAGGGTGCACATTAGCAGGAAGCTGGTTGGAAGCAGAGCCAGGATTCAAATCCAGGCGTCCCCAGTGGCATCTTTACCACTGTGCTGAATGTTCGCCTGTAAAGTAATCTGTTCTGATGTACTTGGAACCTGAAAGAGCAAAGTGACAGACAGGTGTTTGTTGTTCCCAAGGAGGGTCTGGTCTGCTCCCAGCTGCTCGTATCACAGAGTGTCCTAGGGCCATGTAGGCTGTGGGGGAAACTCAGGACAGAATGTGATATGTGACTGCTGTTAGAATTTGGGGCCAGCATGTGGCACAGCTGCTTAAGTTGATACTTGAGATGCCTATATCTCATATTGGAGTGCCAGCTTTCAGTTCCGGCTTCTCTGCTTCCAATCTAGCTTCCTGCTAATACATATCCTGGGGCGGCGGGGTTGGGGGTGGGGTGTCAACAGAAGATGGCTCAAATACTTGGGTCCCCTACACCCACGTGGCAGATCTTGATGGATTGCCTGGCTCCTGGCTTTGGCCTGGCCAAGCTCTGACTGTTGCAGGCATTTGGGGAGTGAACAGTAGCTAGAAGATTTTTTTTTCTCTCTCTCTGTCTCATTTTCAAAAGAATAAAAATAACTAATTTTTTTAAAAACTTGATCTTATCTTACCTACTTCAGGCCCCACCTTCTCCACATAGTCTCTTTTACAGAGGTAGAGAATTGATTTCCAAATAAGTCACCAGAATTCATCAATCTTGCCAAACTACACTTTGACAGCATACATTTTTAGTTGATTATACGTTTTTTGTTCCATCCTAGACCCAAGCTGGGTTTTAATGCCATCTGGTGGTTACTTGAGATACTGACCAAAAATTGGCCGTTAAGTCACAAAGCAAGCAGGGAACAGATGCTCCTCTAAGTCAGCCAAGCAAGGGAGCGGCAAAACACTTGAGTCAGCACTTCCCCTGGTTCCCCTCTTACAAAACCTCAGTGCGTTGTCCTGGAAACCACCAAGGTCTAGAGGAAATAGCTCAAATGTAAACATTTGTTCTTAATTCAAAAACAAAGGATTCTTTTACCCTTGGGTTTCAGCAATGAGAACAATGCCTTAAGGAGCTCTCTTTAAATATTCTTTCCTTTAATTCAATGCTTCTAATGAGATTTTAAAAAGTGGAATGTGACTCAGCCTACTCCTCATCCTCAGGTGTCCTGGCATCTGAGACAGATTAATTGCAGGGAGGAAGGCTACGTGGAGTGCCCTGTGCCTGGCTTCCTCTCAGCCTGAAGATAAAAGAGCAGAAGTCAATAGAGAAGGTGCCTGGTCTTTAAGGCCAAGAACAGCCAATGCCCCTGAGATTAAATGCCATTCCCCTTTGGAAGCTTCATATGCGCAGCCTTTGTTCCAACCCCAGGGAGTAGGAGAAGAGATGGGACACTTCTCTGTCCTCCAGCCTTAAAGCACAGCCCCGCATCTAGCTTTTCTCAGCAGCCTTCCGTAAGGAAGTCATCCTAATCACACTAACCTTCCTCGACTTGGCTCCAGCATGAGAATACCTGAAGGTAGAGATCACATACAGCTTCCGAAGGACAGTGCACAGCCTAGTTACAGAGCCAATCTGAACAACAAACTCTGGTTTCTCTTCTTAATTCCACCCTGCCTTGAAAACTCGGCTCTTAGACCTTGAGAATATTCTCTGTCGGTCATTTATGCAGACACAATTCTCAGGTACAAGAAAAACCATCTCACTAGAAATTCTTCCTCGGGATTCCTTTTCCTGTTGCCCGTTCTTGCTGGATGCTGTGTCTCTTTCACTCCTGGTTCCGAAGGCTCTTGCTGTCCAACATGGCTCATGCTCACCAATGCCTCCTCCAGGAGATGCTCTCAACGCTTACCTCCTCCTCCTCTTAAAATACCTTTCTTGGCTTTCACACTACCTGCTTTCTCATAATCTGGGGTGAATTCTTCTGTTCCACAGACCCAGTTTCTGGCACAAACAATCTTGTTTGTAGTTGACTGTGCAGAAAGATTCTTATCTAGAATAAAATAAGATTACTGAAGTGTACATCAAAACAGAAGAGTGGGGTTATACACAACAGATATCATAGAATCACCTCCCTCAGCCCAGGACCTAACAGTTTCTTGCACTTTAGGACAATCTATCTGGTCAAGGTATAACTTGGGTCAATCCATGGTAAATCCATTATATAACACGATTAATATTTAATATTAATATTATTTTAGAAATGACTATCTAATTATTTGTTAATGTTAAATTTGTGTGAGTTGATTTTGATAGTCAATAGTCCAGGAAGAGTTAAGAGATGCCAAATGATCTTTAAAGGAAGATGGAGCCCTTCATTATATTAGACTCAAGGAACAAGGTGCCCTTTAGGAAGAGAATCAATCTTAAAAAGAATATGGCCAGCGCCGTGGCTCACTAGGCTAATTCTCCGTCTGCGGCGCTGGCACCCTGGGTTCTAGTCCCAGTCAGGGAACCGGATTCTGTCCTGGTTGCTCCTCTTCCAGTCCAGCTTTCTGCTGTGGCCCAGGAAGGCAGTGGAGGATGGCCCAAGTGCGCGGGGCCTGCACCCCATGGGAGACCAGGAGGAAGCACCTGGCTCCTAGCTTCAGATCAACGCAGCGTGCCGGCCATAGTGGCCATTTTGGGGGTGAACCAATGGAAGGAAGGCCTTTATCTCTGTCTCTCTCTGTCTATAACTCTCTCTCTGTCTCTCTCTCACTGTCTAACTCTGCCTGGCAAAATAAATAAATAAATAAATAAATAAATAAATAACAGGGGCCTGCTTTTGGCTTAGCAGCTAAGATACCCACATCCTTTATCAGAGTGCCTGGGTTAGATTTCCAGCTGTAGATCCCAATGCCAGCTTCCTGTCAATAAGGACCCTGGTGAACAGTAGGTGGTGACTCAAGTAGTTGGGTCTCAGCCATCCATGTGGGAGACCTGGGTTGAGTTCCCAGCTCCTAACTTCAGACTGACCCAGCCCTTGCCATTACAGGCATTTGAGTGGTGAACCAATAGATGGGAGATCTCTGTCTTTCCATCTTTGTCTCTCTCCCTCTCTCTTTCTCTGTCTCTACCTCTGCCTCGAATAAATAAGAAAAATTTTAGGAAAACAAGAACAAATGGAGATGAGCGGGTACTCTGTATTGTCAACTTAGGCTGGCCTAAAGACTTTAAATCAGGACTCCTACATACTGAGTTACAATGTTTTCCATGTAATTAACAAATATAATCATCATCATGATTCTATTTCAGAACTTGGTTTTCTTTAATAATCCTCCGTCTGCCACTCTGAGTCAACTCCTGGAAGTGATGAGCTGGCAGTTTTCATCCTATGTTGGCCGTGGCCTTAACTCAGATCAACTCAATATGCTGGCCGAGAAACTCACAGGTGAGAGCTGCTGGACGTGCAGACTTGCCTCTGTCTTTGTCACTCAAGCGTTTTAAAGGAGCAAGATTGTGTCAGTATTAATAATGAACATTACAGTTTCTTGAGTGCCTATTATGTCCCCAGGCGCACTGCTAAGTTCTGTATTACCTTTAGTTGTCACAAAATTTCTTCAGGCTGACGTCATTCCACCCATGTTAGAGATGAGGATACTGAAGTGCAGACGCTAAGTGCAGACCCCTGGCTGCATGGCTGGTACATAGCAGAGCCACACCACGGGCCAGACCTGCCCAGTTCTAAAGCCCCTTTCTTTCCATTCCACACTCCAGTCCCTTGGGTTTTCTTAGGCCACCCCACTGAATAAGATATGAAGCCTCCATTGTGCCTTGATCTTTCTTATTAATACCTCAGTTGACATTAAAAAACTGGAGAATGATGGAGTCCTTTACCAGGTCCAGGGAATTCAATATAAATTTAAAACATGCAGGTAATATTTAATTTTACATGGCAGGAAAGTTTCAGCTTTGATTGAGATTTCTAAAGTTTGCAAAGTCAAGTCATTGGCAAGACATATGCCAACTATAGTCTAAGCTTTGTCTAAAAGAGTATAAAAAGATATCTATATTTTGACAAATCTGAGGTGAAAAATACTTTTGGCACCAAAAGAGTTCAAATTGGGTCTACATATGTTTCTACTTTATGGTAGAGCCAAAGAGGCATTTGAGTAGCAGTTCTAGAATCACACATGACTTAAGTTACACTTACATATGACACTGGTTGCTTGCCACTTGTGCCTATTACATGATGAACAGGCACCAAAATAAATCAGGACCCTGGGATACATAAAAATATACTTACCATAAATATCTTGTGGGTCTTATTTAAAACATAAGCAGCAATAGTAGGCATTCAATAAATTCTTGTTGATGAATGAATAAAGCTTTTTCAATTGTAGTATAAATAACAGGCGTATCTTTTCAGGTCTGTATCAAACCATCCTAATAATTTCCCTAAAATTTCACATAGCAACTCCTGCATGCTTTAACTGCTCTGGATCAGAACAACCAGTGATGACCAATTGCTCGTGGATTTCTAGTCCACTCTTTTTCTCTTAATAGGCAAGACTTTCAGTAGGGTGGTTGCACCCGACTTACACAAATTCACCTTAAAATGTTTATTCACAAGCCCTCAGCTGCTCTTGCTGTGTCCTCTGAGTCATGCTTGTGTCTACAACTTGTCCCATATTCTTAATTCCTAGAGTGTCCTCCCTTCTCCCCCACCAACGGTTATCTCCTACCTGTCCATGGAGCTCGCCGAAGCCATTGCCAGCTCCTCCATCAAAAAACATCGTTCCCAGACAGCAACGTTCTTGGGAGCAAGGCTGACAGCTTTCATTTGTACTGCACCTAGCACTACAGACACCATGAACCCATAGCACATGCTTGCGAAATGTTTAAGGGAAGGGCGGGCTCTAAATTGAGCAAATAATTGAAAATCCTCGTTGGAATAAAATGTGCCATCTTTTGTTCTCTTTTTAGTTCAGTCCAGCTACAGTGATGGTCACCTCACCTGGGCAAAGTTCTGCAAGGTACAAATGGGAAGGGAAACATCCTTTAGATACTTTTAAAAAACTAATACTCCTTTCTATGCCTCCCTATTATCACCTGGGGGGGCTAAGGATATCCTGGAGAAGGATGTATCTGGAAGAAACTAAAGTGTCCAGTTTAAAGAAAACAATTCATTGAAAAATGGAACTTCATTATTGTATCAACATTACTAAAATAATGGTTGTCTTAATGTGCTTGTTTATTCCGATAGGAACACTTACCTGGCAAATCATTTACCTTCTGGACATGGCTTGAGGCGATCCTAGATCTAATTAAGAAGCACATTCTTCCCCTGTGGATTGATGGGTGAGTTACAGACTATGTTTTCCACATTGATCAATTAGGTCTTTTTTTTCTCTTGTTATTTTTTTCCCTTTTCCTTTTTAAATCTAAGCATTTTTAGTGCCCTGGGAAAAAAATAGCTTCCATTTCTTACATTCTTCTTTTTTATTTTATTTTATTTATTTATTTATTATTTGGCAGATAGACAGTGAGAGAGAGAGACAAAGATCCTCCTTCCGTTGGTTCACCCCCTGCTATGGCCGGCGCTGCGCCGATCCGATGCCAGGAGCCAGGTGCTTCCTCCTGGTCTCCCATGCGGGTGCAGGGGCCCAAGCACCTGGGCCATCCTCCACTGCCTTCCCGGGCCACAGCAGAGAGCTGGACTGGAAGAGGAGCAACCGGGACTAGAACCCGGTGCCCATATGGAATGCTGGCACCGCAGGCAGAGGATTAACCAAGTGAGCCACGGTGTCAGCCCCTTACATTCCTCTTAGAGTATCAGTATTTATATTTATAGATGAGTAGTCCATGTACCAGTGACTTGATTATACCCAAAACAAACATTAGGTCTGTTCTTTGTAAATGTAATAAATGCAAATACTGCAATAATGATCAGTGTGAACTGTGCACTGTTCTATTTTTAGGTACATCATGGGCTTTGTTAGCAAAGAGAAGGAACGGCTCTTGCTGAAGGATAAAATGCCTGGAACCTTCTTATTAAGATTCAGTGAAAGCCATCTTGGAGGAATAACTTTCACCTGGGTGGACCATTCTGAAAATGGTACATGCTCACTACCGTTTATCCATGTGAATTTGGTGTTCTTGAGTTTTCGGTTTTCAGATGTGTGTGGTGTGTTGACTTGCCTCCCATGCGTTCAGTGGATTTGAATATTAGTTGTTGCATTGTCCCAGAACAGGGTACCATGAGTTGTAAAAGCCTGTGAATCAGCCTCTCTCACGTGCTTGATCTGTACTGTCCGTCTGCAGAAGGTCTGGCATTGCTTTATAACCGTGACTGAAGACCGTGTGGGCAGAAAGAACGGCCACAGAGAATGTCAGCAGAAACCTGGATATCCCTCCAATTACTGTTTTTTCAGGAGAAGTGAGATTCCACTCTGTAGAACCTTACAATAAAGGCCGGTTGTCTGCTCTGCCGTTTGCTGACATCCTTCGAGACTACAAGGTTATTATGGCTGAAAACATTCCTGAAAACCCTCTGAAGTACCTGTATCCAGATATTCCCAAAGATAAAGCCTTCGGTAAACACTACAGCTCCCAGCCTTGCGAAGGTTAGGATGTTTTTGTTTGTTTGTTTGGTTGGTTTTGTTTTTTGTTTTTTACCTTTTTCCTTAAGATTGTGGAAAATAGCTTCATTTTGAAGCAAAGTAAATGAAGTTCCTCTTTTTGTTTGCTTTGGTCGTTGTAAGATCAAAGGGGCACGTGGTGGTCAAAGCTTGAGAAATGAAGTAGTTTCTCAGCAGTTCCTGAAAAGGAGCCGCTGGGCTGTCTGGCACTGGCACAGAAACTCAGTAGCTTGAATCTCACTTCGCCAAGGCCCTGGAGGCCTCTCAGTCGCTTGGAGAGCTTCAAGTTTCTCCTTCGTAAAACAGAAGTGGTTTTGACTTCACTTTTGTGATTTGGGGAAAGGCAAAGAAAAAGAAGTAATGATTGAGAATGTTAGAGGCATTTGTATTTTGTCCGGGAACTCCAGGATTTATAAGATTCACACTTTTCATCTCTCTGTATTCTTACCATGCAGAGTCTCTTTATTCATTTGCCAGGGACGGTACATGGGGGTCTATATTTTATCTGCCTTCTTCCTAGCTTTCCTAGCCTAGCGAGCCAAAATAGCTATTGAATCTGTAAAAGAAAGTTCATGAAATTAGCTGTGTATTTTAAGTTCATCATTCTATTTATTTAATGAAAGTACAGTCAGTTCTATGTGTATAGGTTCTGCCTGGGCAGATTCAACCACCCATGAAACCCATGAATTTAAAATATTGTTTTTGACAGGCAGAGTGGACAGTGAGAGAGAGAGAGAGAGAAAGGTCTTCCTTTTCTGTTGGTTCACCCCACAATGGCCGCTACAGCTGGTGTACTGTGGCCGGCGCATTGCATTGATCTGAAGCCAGGAGCCAGGTGCTTCTCCTGGTCTCCCATGCTGGTGCAGGGCCCAAGCACTTGGGCCATCCTCCACTGCACTCCTGGGCCACAGCAGAGAGCTGGACTGGAAGAGGGGCAACTGGGACAGAACCCAGCACCCCAACCGGGACTAGAACCTGGGGTGCTGGCGCCGTAAAATATTTGTTTTTTGAAGATTTATTTATTTATTTATTTATTCGGAAGAGGGGGACAGACAGAGAAAGAGACAGATCTTCCATCTGTGGGTTCACTTCTCCAGTGGCTGCAACAACCAGAGCTGGGCCAGGCTGAATCCAGGAGGCAGGAACTCTTTCTCGGTCTCCTGTGTGGGTTGCAGGAACTCAAGTACTTGAGCCATCATTTGCTGCTTTCCAGACACATTGTCAGAGAACTAAATTGGAAGAAAAGTAGCCAAGACTTAACCTGGCACTCCAGTAAAGGATGTTGCAGTCCCAAGTGGCAGTTTAAGCTGCTGTTCCACAGCACCTGCTGTTGAAATATTTTTTAAATTACATCCGTACTGAACTTGTACAGACTCCTTTTTTTCTTACCATTGTTCCCTAAACAATACAACAACTATTTACATGGATTTTACATTATGTTAGGCATTACAAGTAATCTAGAGATGATTTAAAGTAGACAGGAGAATGTAGTTAGAATATAGCAAACATCATTCCATTTTATATAAGGTACTTGCACATCTGTGGTTTTGGTATCCAAGGGAGTCCCATAACCAATCCTCCACAGTTATCAAGGACCAACTATATATTCAGTTCATTAACATCTTTCTCTATAGCAGCTAAATCTTTTGAGTACCTTCTTGTGGAATATTCCACATTTGTTTCTCAGATGGTGATCTGATGCCACCCAATTTCTTCCCCTCTTGAAATAAACACATAAACATTTTAACAAAACAAAAACCTGCAGCTTTATTAAGTGATTCTATATATCTGATCAAACGAAATAACAAAAGTGTCAACGCAACAAATTATAGTTGGAAAATTGGACCAAGCACTAATTCGACACAACATACTAGAGAAGGTTGAGGCATGTTTCCAAGGTTAAGTTCACCTATCACTGTTAGTACCATATAGTCTGGGATGTCTCTGTTTCAAAACTTTGTTATCATCAGGTTATGGTTGATGTCCATAGCTAGATTACTACAAACTCCCACCCCAGAATGAATAAGGCAGTCACTATAGTCAAACTTCAATGCAGTATAGAAGACAGCCAATCTAGTTGATTCTCAATTTTTCTTACCCCTTTGGAGACATTAATATGCAAAGTTGGAATAGGCTGCCAGGAGATTTGTTTTTCTCTTCTTACACATTTTATGTTTATCTAAAAGATTGTTTCTTCTACTCAACTAAAAATATCTGTGAATCACTTAACAATTGTATTCTCTCTTCCTTTTAGTATTGCTGGTGTTTTTCCTAAGTTTATCAATATTACTGATCTCTGTTTTCTCCCAACATTGTGCCTTTCTTTTCCAGTTTCAAGGCCAACTGAGAGGGGAGACAAAGGATATGTTCCTTCAGTTTTTATTCCCATTTCAACAATGTGAGTAGTCTGTCACTTGTAAAATATTTATTATTGAATTTGGTTTTTAAAAAGATATATTTATTTGAAAGGCAGAATTAGAGAGTGAGGGAAAGAGACAGAAAGAGATATCCTCCATCCACTGGTTCACTCTGTAGATAGCCACAATGGCTGGGATTGGGCTAGGCCAAAGCCGGGAGCCAGGAGCTTCCTGCAGGTCTCCCAGTGGGTGCAGAGGCCCAAGCATTTGGCCATCCTCCACTCTTTTCTCAGGTGCATTATCATGGAGCTGGATCAGAGGAGGTGCAGCCAGGACATGAACCAGCACCCATATGGGATGCTGGTATCACAGGCTGCGGTTTAACCTGCTACGCTGCAATGCCAGCCCCTACTGAATTAACTTTTGGGAAAAATAAAAATAAAAAAAAGCTTTCCTCTAAGAGATTTAAGGGTACAGCAGAGTACATATAACTGAGAACAAGACCTTCTTTTATGTAATAAAGCATTTTCTGTCCCATTTCTTTCAATACATAAAGCTAGTCTTCAGGGCACACTTACTACAGTATATTACTGCTGCAGTTACCAAGTTGCCCTTTTATATGCCATATATTCCAGAGTAGGCTGAAGGTTCTGATATGAAATGATGAATTAAGCAGCTCGGTGGCACAAATAGATGAAGAAATGAGTTCCTGATCCAGTCAGTGACCATGAGCTCTTATTTTCTAATCCTTTTCAATACTCACCTTCTTGTCTCTTGAAGCCGAAGTGATTCGACTGAGCCACAGTCCCCGTCGGACCTCCTCCCCATGTCTCCAAGTGTATATGCAGTGCTGAGGGAAAACCTGAGTCCCACAACAATTGAAACTGCAGTATGTACCCTTTCTTTTCCATTGCTGGTCGGGGGCGTTTCCAGTGAAGCCAAGGTGGTGCGTGACTCAAGGCGGCTGAAATACTACCTGGGCAAAGAGAAAACATGTTAATTGGCACAAAGTTGTGAGCATAACACAAGGGGTTTCTGTGTGGTCCTGCATGTTGCTAATGTTACAGGCATGAAAAGCAAACACCTTGACTGATGTGATCTGATTTAGGTTCTTTTCTTCAAAACCACAAAAAGCCAAACTATTCCTACAAGCCGCTTAAGCCACTGGCCCTACTGCAAATCCTTGGCTCCATCAGTCCCACTACTCGGCTCTATAAACAACATGTATTAGTCAGTGTTTATCAGCCTGGTGTGATACCTATTTGAACAGCTCAAGCACCACAAATTCCAATTCTTCTTGATCCTTATTTGAATTACTAGTCCCTGCAGCCATTCCAAGTAGTACATGAATAGCAACCAAAAGCAGCATAGTAATACTCTCTTTTTTTGAGAATTAGTCGTAATCCAGTATGTAGTAATGTTATTTGTTGCATTTTTTTCATTCTTATCCCCAAATACTGGCAAGAGGGTTCAAATGAAAGTGAACATATATCAGAATAATAGAACACTGGAGGGACTCCAAGCCCCACAAGATTTATATCTGTCTATAAATCAAGTACATTTCAGGCTCTTCTTGAAGATTTCTAGGGATGGAAAATCCACTTCCCTTTGTTACTTTATTCCAATGTTAGTAGCCCTTAAATCAAGTTATTTTTGTCTCATCGAACTTTTGCAACATTTTTTACCCATTTCCTTGTGATATTTTTGGTGAAAGGAACCTTTTATTTTAGACTGATCAACCCCAGTTAATTTTTTAAAATACTTGACAGTTAATTGGTGGGGAGATTGTTCAGTATTTGGCAGACAAGAGGATGTCTACCCCCTAACTAATGATTTATTTGCAAAACAGGAATTTCTTCAAAGATCATTTTCATTTTCAATTTTAGATGAAGTCTCCATATTCTGCTGAATGATAGAATAAACCGACACTCCAACAAAGGAAGCAACTGAAAAAAAGTTTAAAGACTGTTCTTTGCCAACAAAAACATCATGTTTCTTCAGCTTAAATACTGGTTTCCAGGAAATGGTTGAAGTCTGAAGCTCTCCTCTCACTAGCTTGACACCCTTTAGGGAGTGTTGTGATTGAAATGTTAAAAAACAAAACTTCAGATAAATTTTCAAGATAAGACAACTTTAAGGAACCAGTGTTATTAACAATATAATATTAATGAAAGACTTGTTTGTATGTGTTTATTTCTGATTTTGTTTCTTGGGTGTTCACGTATAATATTGGCTATAGAAGGTATAAGCTACCACTGCAGGTCAAGAATAACAAAGTGCACCCACATTACTCCAAAAGCAGCAGGAAGGCCTGAGGGAGAAGCCAAGGCAGCAGGTCAGTGTCGTCCTGAGTTCAGTTTCACAGCAGAACCGAGGTGGAAGTAATTGGAGAGGCACTGATAGCCATGGAGCATGCGGGGGTAAACTGTGAAGCCCCTGAATTACCACGTCAGCACTGTCCCTTATTAGGAGGGATCCAGAGTCATTCCTGGGGATATTCTAGGCAAACTGCACTGATAACATGGTCATTGAAAGCAGACACAAGGCCGGCGCCGCGGCTCACTAGGCTAATCCTCCGCCTTGCGGCGCCGGCACACCGGGTTCTAGTCCCGGTCGGGGCGCCGGATTCTGTCCCGGTTGCCCCTCTTCCAGGCCAGCTCTCTGCTGTGGCCAGGGAGTGCAGTGGAGGATGGCCCAAGTGCTTGGGCCCTGCACCCCATGGGAGACCAGGAGAAGTACCTGGCTCCTGCCATCGGATCAGCGCGGTGCGCCGGCCGCAGCGCACTGGCCACAGCGACCATTGGAGGGTGAACCAACGGCAAAAAGGAAGACCTTTCTCTCTGTCTCTCTCTCTCACTGTCCACTCTGCCTGTCAAAAAAAAAAAAGCAGACACAGAGGTTAAAGTCTCATGAAATAAGGACTGGGAGGTGAACAACAGTTTTAGCTGGGAGACTGCTTCCCTCTGTTATTTATCTATAGAAGCGGCTGGACTAAGTGGGCTCTGTGATCTTTTCCAGCTCAAATCTCTGGTCCCATAAATACTACCTGACACTGGGGAAGTGGTATAAGATAAGAAGTTCCGGGGGCCGGCGCTGTGGCATAGTGGGTAAAGCTGCCATCTGCAGTGCCAGCATCCCATATGGGCACCGGATCTAGTCCACTCCACTTCTGATCCAGCTCTCTGCTGTGGCCTGGGAAATCAGTAGAGGATGGCCCAAGTCCTTGGGCCCCTGCACCCACGTGGAAGACCTGGAAGAAGCTCCTGGCTTCAGATTGGCACAGCTCCGGCTGTTGCGGCCAATTGGGAAGTGAACCAGCAGATTGAAGACCTCTCTCTCTCTCTCTCTCTCTCTCTCTCTGTCTTTCCTTTTCTCTCTGTGTAACTCTTTCAAATAAAATAAATAAATCTTAAAAAAAAAAAAAAGAAGAAGTGCCATCTCTGCAGTTTGCTTGGTGAAGAGGAAGGGCAGGTGCAGGACTAGGTGCCAATGCATGAATGTGTACATGAGTTAGCTCTGTTTTGGCCTTGCCGTATCCCAGCTGGATGGTTAGTGGTGCTGTTGCCAAGCTGCTGCCCTTCGTAGTAGTGTGGGATCCCCAGTGCCCAACCAAGACTGGGTATCTTGATGTCTGCCAAGCACAAGGGATGCTGTTGAGCCCATGGAGGAAGTCATGCTACCAAGGCACCTGCTATGACCAACTCCAGAAAATCCCAAAACCGATTTCCAGTGTGAGCCCTGGGCAGAGAATCAGTGGTGACAATAGCATCTGCAGGGCTCTCTACTCTCTTCCACCCATCTCCGATCATCTAGGCAAACCAGTTAGAAGCTCATGTCTAATGCAAAAGAACTCAAGGGAAATGAGCTCTTAGTATAACCTGTGTTCTCCCTTTGAGGGATTCTGGCCATTCAGTCTCATTATTTAGGCCCACCCACATATGCCAAACAGATCTTAGATTGTTTCTATATGGCTAACTCTCCACCTGCCCAAGGCTGACTCCCTTATTTACTTGCAGGTTCCTGACAGTACCTGTAGGGTGAAAGGGGTGTCTGAGAGAGGGTAATTCTACATTCAATTCAAATCACACCCTCCCTGCCTCTATATCCCTCCACAAATCCAGTGTTCTGAAATTTGCCTGAAACATATATACTACCTAGCAGCAGAAATGGGGAATATAATTTAAACTTAGGCATGATTATTACAGTTTTGTCTTTTAAAGAGGTGATTTTTCTATCAGGAAGTGCTCTTAAAATGACTGGCTTGAGAGAGAGAGAGAGAGAGAGAGAGGGTTTACATTCCCCAGAATTTGATGAAAGTACAATAGACTCTTACCTCTTAGGCTGAAGATTTAAAAACTTTTCAACATAGAAACTGGTAGCAGCATACCAAGGATTCATATGTCACCATAGCCAAGGAAGTTTTGTAATCTGCTTCCTGTAATGGATGCAGAGAGTATGTTATAAGAAATAGATGGCTGTTTTTATTTAATTTAAAAATCAAAATCAAACTCTTGACCCAATTCAAATAATTATTTTCCTAGAATATGAGTGTTGCTCTCCAAAAATCGTCTTTGTGGGGGTAATGAGTCAGGAGGATTTCAGGGATCCCTGTTCTGTCCAAGATATCATGTGCCACATGAAGTGGAAATGCAGTCCGAAAGGGGCTTAGACCACGTTTCCACCAAATCCTATCTCAGTATATTTTTTTCTGCCAACTGTGACTTGGTTCAAGCTGTGTCTCAACAGAAGTGTATTTATTAAAGTTCTGGAGGCTGAAAGGCTAAGATCTGGGTGTCAGCATGGTTTGGTTCTGGGCAGGGCCCTCTTCCAGGTTGTAGATGGCCAACTTTTGTGTCCTCATGGAGAGTTAGAGCGAGAGCTCTCTGTAAGGAAACTAATTCTATTCATGAGCGTTCACTACCATGATCTAATTACCTCCCAAAGTCCAAATACCAACCTATGGGAAGTAAGCATTTCTACATATGAATGTGGGGGGAATATAAAGTCAATCCACTACAAACAGCCAGCAAATAAACACCACTTAATGAAATCAAATATAGATCTAGTTCCAAAATAATAAACCCACTTTCAGTTCTCACCCAGCCAAGATTAATTATAGACAATTTGCCAATCACTATCCAAATTCATTTTAATGTGAAGAATCAGTTGAATCAATTGTACTGGGTATCACTACCTTAATTTATCGGGAAGTGATGGTGAAAGAAGGCAGCTGGCCAGCAGATTTCTCCAAGTCTATGGTAGCAAGGAAAGCTCTCCCAAAGAACCAGAAAGAACAAGTATCCCCTCTGGCAGCTCAAGAGACTTTTCTTTACCACACCTGGTGTAGGGAAACCCAAGCACTCCCTGTGGTAGAGAGAACATAATTAAGAGTCAAACCATATGTGGACTCTGCTCTTGGCAGTGGATAAGTACATGGGCCAGACCTAGCTAACTGACTTCTCTGCATATACACTCTGATTTCTGACACAGACTAGAAACTTCTTTGAAATTGACCATGAACATGTACTGATTTGATTTATTGTTCTTGTTAAAGTTTGGCACGTGAACTCTTACCAATCCGGTAACTGTATAAGCACCCCTGTAAGACAGGGAATATTTCTACCAGAATACTCATGAAGAAGATGCTATAAAACCGGGCTCCTGGTTTCGGCATGGCTCAGCTATAGCGGTTGCAGGCATGTGAGGGGTGAGTCAGCATATGGAAGAGCTCTCTGTCGGTCTGCTTTTAAATTAGAATGAAAATAAATGAACTTTTCAAAATAAATAAGTTGAATCATGTCACTCTGTGCTTAAAATCTATAAATGACTTATGACACTGCATTAGCATTCTTACAGACAGAATTTAGTAAGGAATTTATGAATTTGGATGGTAGAAGTTAACAATTTTATTTCCAAGAACTTCTGGCTAAAGTTTAAAATTTCCTTTGATTATGAATAAGGGCAGAAAACCATAATCCATACTACTTATCTGTTACAGTTGTTACAGTTTTCTCAAAATATTATTTATACTAAGTAAAAGTTTGAAATTGCATTAATCAGATCCACTGGAGATCTTGTTGCTTAATGCTATTAATAAACATTAACTGTATCACAAAGTTGGCTTTAATATATCAACATTGATTCGATAATTTTATTTCAGAATAATTGGTTTCTTTTTTAATGTTATGCATTTTGGTCAGCTAAAAACATGATTCATCAAAGGAGCTCGTAGATTTTGTCAGACTGCCAAAGGGGTCCACGGTACAAGCAGAATCCCAACTCTGGATGAAGACCATAATTTTCAACAGCTCTTTCCAAAGTCATATAGTATATGACTTTATAAATATACATATATATAGCCTTTAACTCTCCCCTCGTACCACTTTTCCTTAAAGGCTTCTTATCTTCCAACACACACACACACACACACACACACGTGTGCACGTGCACGCAGGACACACTAAACTACTTCCAGTTTCATTGACGTTCCACGTCCTCCTTCCTCTGCGTCATCCTCACAGCTCTCCAGCCCCCCTCTGCTAGTGGTCACCAAGGTAATGTGCATACTTTCTTCTGGCTCCGGAAAGCTCTCCTGCCACACACACACATGCACACTGGTGGACACACGTGTCACACTGTGCCCCCTCCCAAGCATCAGCACAGGACATCGCCTTTGTACATCATCCGTCTTCTTTCATCAGTGTGAGGGAGCGCTGGATGGACGGGGACCAACACAGCCTCGTTCACAGCTGTATCTGTAGCACAATCTGCCCCTTAAGTGTTCACTAATGGGTTAGAGCTTGAACACATTCAGGACAACGATCAGTTCCTTCCTTTCCTTTGTTCCTTGCTGTGCCTGCAAGATTAAGCTAGAATTCTTTCTTTAATACCTCCAGACTCTAAAATCGTGAAACTGTCCCCAATATTATACCTCATCCTGATGAACCAAAACAGGCTTGCTTTGATCGCGCAATACAGAGGATTTTCTCTCTAGTTCACCTCACTCTTAACTCCAATTTCTGTGGAAATACTCGAGTTATCATTGACCCCGTTGAAATCCCCTCTGATTTAGGTGTTATCTTGGGCATGCCTAACGTCCCAAGCATCTTCCCAACGCCCAGAGGAATCAAGTGTTCTTGAAATTCCCCCTTAACACCCCCTTCATTTAACACACCGTCATGACTACCCCTGCCTCTTGCATACATCCTACACAGAACTCTCACATTAGGCTTGCCAGTCATCCCCTGAGATGTCTCGCAGACTGCTATAGGTGGAAAGAAATCTGGAGGCCATTCAGACAGGGCAAAGATGGGAGGGGTTGGACAGGGTGAGACAGACTGTCATTACAATCTCAGGGAAGTTTTTTAGAATACACATGCTCATTATTCTCTTCCACTTCAACTGCAGCTCCATAGGTCTTTTTTTTTTTTTTTAAGATTTATTTTATTTATTTGAAAGAGTTACAGAGAGAGGTAGAGACAGAGAGAGAGAAGTCCTCCATCCACTGCTTTACTCCCCAGATGGCTGCAACGGCTGGAGCTGAACTGATCCTAAGCCAGGAGTCAGGAGCTTCTTCCAGGTCTCCTACATGGATCCAAGGGCCCAAGGACTTGGGCCATCTTCCACTGCTTTCCCAGGCCACAGCATAGAGCTGGATCAGAAGTGGAGCAGCCGGGGCTAGAACCAGTGCCCATATGGGATGCTGGTGCTTCAGATCATGGCTTTAACCTGCTGTGCCACAGCGCTGGCCCCTCCATAGGTCTTTCTGCCAGTGCTGAGATCTAGATGGCCAAGTTAACCTGTGAGTCTTGATCCCAGTGTTGGTCAGCCGTATTCATTTATTCTTTTATTCAGAAACCATTTTTGATACTCTGTATCAGGCATTGCAATCTCAACCAGGGTTTCCCAACTGAACCACATCACACAGAAAGTGATTTGCTTGATTTTCTCAATTTTCCCAAGGATCATATATTGCACCGGACCAGATAGGAGTATAGGAGAGAAGGTAATTCAGTACACAGATGCTTTGTGATTATAATAATAAATATACCAAAGAAGGAATCAGCAGTGCTGTGGTGCAGTCAATAAAGCTGCCAGCTGCAGCACCGGCATCCCATGTGAGTGCTGGCTCCATTTCTGATCCAGCTCCCTGCTGATGTGCCTGGGAAAGTAGGGGAGGATGGTCCAAGTGCTTGGGCCCCTGCACCCAAGTAAGAGACCCAGAAGAAGCTCCTGGCTAATGGCTTCAGCCTGGCCCAGCCCTGGCTGTTGTGGCCATCTGGGGGCATGAACCAGCAGATGGAAGATTTCTTTCTCTCTCCCCCCACTTTGTAACTCTGCCTTTCAAATAAATAAATGAAACTTTTAAAGAAACATACAAAAGAATAAGGGAGAAATATAGAGACGAATCCCCAAGAAAAGGGTATATTGGGGAATAATCCATAAAGATTAGAATTTCAATTCAAGACATACACACAGGTCAGAATGGCCTCTGCAAAGTCCAAAGCAAAAAGGAAGGGGCCACCGCTGTGGGGCTACAGGTTAAAGCCCTAGCTGCAGTGCCAGCATCCCATCTCGGTGCTTGTTCGAGTCCCAGCTGCTCCACTTCCGATCCAGCTCCCTCCTAATGCACCTGGGAAGGCAGTAGAGGATGGCCCAAGTGCTTGGGCCCCTGTACCCACGTGGGAGATCCAGAAGTTCCTGGATCCTGGTTTCGGATCAACTCAGCTCCAGCTCTGAGGTCATTTGGGGAGTGAATCAGCAGATGAAAGATCTCTCTCTCTCTCTCTCTCTCTCTCTCTCTCTCTCTCTCGTCTCCACTTCTCTCTGTAATTCTTTTTGAAAAAAGAATAAAGGAAAAGTTAGAGTATTACTGAGAAAGAGAAAAGTTACATGAGTGGATTTGAAAGGAAGTTCCCTGGTGCTTTGGGGAGCTGGCAAATTCTGATTAGTGAGAAATGGCCGTTTCTAGGCTAAACACGTAATCTGAAGGTTCCGGTAGGCTGTTTTGTTGAACTAGGCTTGGGAGACAGTGTGCCCGGCAAGTGCTCTTATGTAAGTGGCCAGCTGCCCTTGAGCCACACGCTGTCCTCGTGTGGCTCATGAAGTAAGCTGTGGTTGAAGAAACTTCTTGTTAACAGTTCCGGTTACTGGCAGTTTGAGCATGACCTCCCCCACGCCCCCTTCACGGCCTTCTCTGCCTTCCTTTTCCCAGGGTTCCAACACAGTGACTCCGCCCTTACTATTGGGGCCTCTGAATGAGAAGAGCTGTAATACAACGCAGGGGCCCTCCTGACGCTTACCGCTGGCCAAGAGAGGTGAAAACAGACACGCTAATAATAGCAGCAAGAGATGTCCTGGAGCTGTGAGGACTGGGAATGTGGGAGAGAGGCCCTGGAGAGATGCTGACAGAGCTGAGGCCTAAAGAACCGAAAGGAACCAGTCCACGAACACAGCCAGGACAGCAGCACCCCAAAAGAACAGTGTAGGCTGCACGTGCCCCTGTCATGTAAAAACCTGAAGCTTTTTAGGTGCAGAAAGAGGCCACAGGGATGGAGGGGACCCTGGAGAGGTAGGGCGAAAGGGAAGCGCAGAACAAGCGGGGCGGGGCCAAGTTATGGAGGGTCCCGCAGGGAAAACCAGGGGTTCTGGATTTCATCGCAGCTGCTACAGGAAGCCAGCAGACGCTTTCCAACAGGAGCGTGAGCGCGCTGGTAGGGAATCTGCTCCGAGAGGGGATGTCTGGCGTAGCGGCTGGAACAGCGCATCCCACGCCACAGCACCGTGGTTCAATGCCCGGCTCTGGCTCCTGACTCCAGCTTCCTGCTCACGCAGGCTCTGGGAGGCAAGAGGTAGGAGACCGGCTTGAGTTCCCAGCTCAGGGCTGTCGCTCCAGACAAGCCCAGCCAAGCCCAGCCGTTGTGGCCTTCCCGGAGTGAAGCAGCAGATCGGGAGGGCACGTTCTTTTTCTCTCTCCCTCGACAATTTTTGTGGAACTCTCAGTGTTTTAACAAACACCTGACAAGGTTTCGTCAGGGAAGTGCCCCCCACTTCTCCCCCCCAGGGCTGTCACAGGACAGGGCACTCAGAAGTGCGTCATACTTGGCTTAATGCTCCGACGGCACTGCGCTCCAACAGGGGACACTAGACGTTCATTTGCACTGGGGCCTTCATTTAAACCTCAAATTCTGTGTGCAGCCGTGGAGGGGGGCTGGCCCCCACTCTGACAAGAGGCCCAGAGGTCTTGTGCATTGGCGGCCCTGGGTTGGCACCTACGCAGGCAGAGGCCCCTCAAAACAGCTGCACAAAGCCCAAAGAGCCCAGTCACGGTGCCTTCCAGAGACATTTGGTAATTGACAAAAATAGCACACAGAGCTCAAACTGCTCGTCCTGCAGCCAAATTTTGGAAACCACGGTCCAGTGCCTCAGCTTACTCTTCCACCACCCTTCTCCCACACTCCGGCTCACCTAGCGTGATCGTGAACGCTAAGACCCCAGGACAAAGGGGAAAGACCCTCACAGATTAGGCAAGGCAACAGCTGAAGAAACAGGAGCGGACCAGAGGTGCGCAGTCCGTGCAGACAGCGCTGCGACCCGGGAGAAGGAAAAGTGGAGCTTCCAGGGCCTTCCAGCTAGAACACGACCCCCGCCCGCGCCGCGACCCTCCCTCTCAAGTTAGCAAGCCCCAGACCCGCGGCGCCCCGGGGTCGCCCCAGGTGCCGCCCCGACGCGTGCCCAGCCATCCACGCCCCCGGGAAAGCCCCCGAGCGCGCGCCTGCGCACTGCTCCCTCCGGCTGCAACTTTCGCTTTTCGGTTTCCTCTCAATCCCAGTCCTTCTCGCTCCCGGCCCATTTCCCCGAAAGCACGTGGGGCGGCTGTTCTGAGCAGTCGCGACCCGCCCGCCGCGCCTGCGGCCGCCGGGAAACGTCTCGAGCCGGCACGCGCAGCCCGCGCCTCCGCGGGAGCGCGCACCCGGCCCCCGGCCGCCTCGCGCCGCCCTCTCCGGATCCCCACGCGCCGGGACGGCCACTGGCGCGTCCTCCCTTCCACTTTTCCTCCCTGTCCATTTATTTAAATTCCTATGTTAAGTCCAAAAATACTGTAAAAACTTCTAAGAATGATAGCATTTCCTACCGTGAAAGAAAAGGGGAAATGAAAGCGACAGCCATGCTCATCAGAGTGGAATTGGGGGCCATTACGGAAGCAGGACACAAGCCTCCTTCCGGCTGCTTTTGGTCCCCTCCGCCCTCCGCCCACAGGACCCGACCTGGCCTGACCGTGACATTGTGCCCAGAGCCGTATCCAGGGGGTGTTATACTCTCTTTTATGGACATTTCTGTTTTGTTCTGCTTATGCATATTTTTCATCTTCCATCCATCACATAACCCTGGATCTTCTCAACACGGGAGACCCCACTTGGCCTGCTTTCCCCCAACACTGATTCTGAACCTGTGTGTCCCGAACTGCAATTCCTAAGGCTCCCTGAACTTCTGAGTCAGATTTGGTCAACAACACACTATCCTCTTCAGTAGAATTCTGGGTGAGGTTCGACTTTTAGTTAATGAAAACATTGCTTGCTTGCACATTGTCATTTTCCTAAAAGTATGCATGCCTCTTCTCCACACTAGGATGAAGTACGTCATGGATGGATGGCAATTTTGTTCGAATCCTAATGTATGTTGACATATGTGTGTTAGAACTTGCTGGGCCGTTGGGACACGAACAGCTAACTCCACCCCGGGCCAACTGAGCCAAATCAAGAGGGATCCTGAGGATGTCATGGCCTAAGATTCTGCTGGCTCTGGCTCTTACAGCCACTGGCTCGCCTGGGACCTCCCAGGCTGATAAGAGCATAATCGTAGATGACTGACTTCAATAAATACCTGTTGGAGGGATGTCTTATGCCATTCAAACTCACCCTATCACAACGGATGTGAGTCTTTGCATGTCCATAAGGTCCCCCTCCCCACCAATAGCTTAAATAGACTACTGCCCATTGCCTGATGGGCCGAATCTCTTATCAGGGCCCCCTTTCACTGTCCAGGTGGGCTGCAACCTTACCTTCCCCCATCATGCTGTCCTGTCTTCAGTAAATCTTTTCCACTTTAATTGACTTCCTCCTCGCCTTTTTCTTCAAACACTAAAATCCTAAAAATAACAACGCACCCTTGCATTTTAACCAGCTGATATGTAGAAGGTCTCCTGTGGATTCCTTACTTATTAGGCCAAGAAAGGGACTGTGTAAAACCTAAATCCAGAGAATTACAAGGAGTTTGAAAACTTTATCTCAATTCCAGTATCTTAAACATGAACTTTGCGGCTTATGCTGCTTAGATGACGTCCTCAGGGTCATCTAATAGTAGCGTAGTAGCGGGGTCTGCAGTTGGTAAGGAGGAGGGATGAGCAGACATTGGCATTTTTAGAAATTTCCGTTATTAGATCTTTTGGTTACACCATTGCTCCATCATTAGCAATTAGCATTAGGTAAAATGCAATGTAGTAGCTGGGAGGAGAACAAATCTTAAATTTGTTCATCAGATTTGTTCATAGCTTTGTAGCTGCCACTTTGAAACAGATGAAGACGGTAAAGCGAAAGCACAGAGCCAGTAACACTTGCTGTGGGGATGTGGTAAGGACACACAGGGTACAGTACTCACTGAGAATGAAAGACCTTAGGGAGAATACTCATGGTGAGGGGAGGGTGATGGGCCCGCTCCACTTGAGAAATTTGGTTATAGAATGCTTTGCTACCCACCCCCACCCCAGCCAAGAGGTCTACAGTCATCTATGGCTACCTGACAAAATTTCACCCAGAACTCAGTGGGGCAGAACAACCACCGTTTATCATTGCTTGTGAGTCTAGGATAGGCTAAGCAGGCCCATCTGATCTGGGTTAGGCCCATATGATCTAGCCTACTCTCTCCCCCATCTAAGTGGGGCCAAGCACAGTGCCCAACTGTGGCCTTTGTGGTCTCTCAACATGCCCGGGGTAGCCTGACTTGTCACCAAGGCTGGGGGCTGCGAGAGTGAAATCCGTAAGGTTTTTTGAGGCCTCAGCTCCAAATGATACAATATTCTACCTGCTGGCAGTGTGGGTCAAAACAAGTCACAGACCTTCCTAGACTTAAAGATTTATCTATTTATTTGAAAGACAGACTGAAAGGCAGAGGGAGACCCCCCCCCCCCCACACACACACAGAGTATCTTCCATCTGCTGGTTCACTCCACAAATAGCTGCAACGGCCAGGCCTGGGCCAGGCCTGGGCCAGGAGCCAGGAACTCCACCTGGGTCTCCCACATGGATGGCAGGTACCCAAGTACTTGGGCCATATTCTGCTGCTTTCCCAGGTGTATTAGCAGGGAACTGGATAGGAAGTGGAGCAACTGGTACTTGAACTGGTAGTCATATGGGATGCTGGCACCACAGGCAGCAGGTTGATCTGCTACACCACAATGCTGGTCCCTCAACCTAGATTTAAGGACTGGGGAAATAATCCTACCTCTGTCTGAATGAAGTTACAGAGTCACATTGCAAAGGGGTAGATAACAAAGAAGGGAATAACGTGACCATTACTGAAAATAATCTACCAGGAGATCCTTGCTAATTTCATATAATAGAAAGGATGTGGTTGACAGTATCTATCTTTTTGTCTCAGCTTGTTGGACCCATTGGATTCTTTGCACAAAGGGGCTTCCAAAGAGTCATGGAAAAGCAGAATTAAATGATAATGCACATTTTTCTTGAGCTTTTTGAAGCCTTCTTGTATTTGTATGTCCAGTCCTGGGAAACATTTTTTTTTTAATAAGCTGTTTTAATGCTTTGCACAAGAAGACAGGTATTTCTAAATAAATACAACTGGGGGGATCAGGGAATGAAAGGAGAGACTGAAGAATAGGAATGGTACTGTCTTCTTTTCTCCAGGCAAAAATGAATTTCCCCCACATAGGAAGTCTGAAATGGTTTCCGCTGTAACTTTACGTCAATCTGTGAGTGACCCCAGTGCCTTCAGTGACTCACCACATGGTGTGGTTTCCAGACTCCTTACCACCCTGGAGTCTAGTTGGACTAGACTCCATTCAGGAGTGGAGTGTAGCAACTACCATCTTATTTGCTGTTTCTGATCAATGGCTAGTAACATCGAGAACCCTAACATTTGTTGCTCTTTCAATTCTGTACAAGTCTTTGCATTTATTGTTTTAAATTTCACCCAGTTGGTGTCAGCCCAGCAGCATTCTAGCCTGTTAAGATAAGTTAGAACTGGGATTCTGTCACCTGTGAATTAGCTACTTCTGTGGCAGAGGGCAGATTCTGCTGACATACAGCAAACACACGTGCTTTGTACTCAAGGGTCTGTGGGTTGGGGGGCTACAGCGATTCTGCTGCAGGTGGTAAGTTCAAGGGGACTTCACACATTTCTTCAGGACTCAGTCTGGAGGAGTATCATCTGGTGGCACAAGAAACCAGCCCACGGGCAAGGTTAATCACCAAGCACAAGCAACAGAGGCATGGATATCACATTCCTTTGGCCAGAGCAAGTCAGCTACCAGCGCCTGAGTCAGCCCACGGAGAATAAAGGGGAAGAAAAAGACTTGAAAAAAATAGTGAATCCGAAACAGCATTCACTCCTTTCTCTAGGTCTGGGTCTTCTGGAAATTTGACATTGTTCGTCTGGAGATCCAGTTTCCCAAGCTGACTATTCTAAGACAGCTGTCCCATATTTGGATCTAGTACTTTCTGCACCTCTAGGTTTCTGGTTTGTTTTGGGTTTGACTGCTTTTACAACCAGTCAATACATGAAATAGTCACAGTTATAAAACACACATAGTTTACCCTCCAGGAACTTAGAAGCTTGGAGAAATGAGGCTTGACTACTCCAAAAACCATCATGTAAGAGAGTGAGTGGTTATTGTAGAATCAAGAGACACTTATATATATTATTTCAGACACCAGATTGATGGCCATAGGTTGTGATGATCCTAGGACAATTCAGGATTTGGGCTGTGTTTCATAAAATTAGTTAAGCAAAGAGTTTAGGGGGCAGAAAAATTACAAAGGGTCAGACACTGGAAAATTAAAAGCATGGTGGGGAGGTGGGGAAAGAGCATTTGGCCTTGAATTTGAAATGTCGGTTAGGATATCTGCGTTTCATACTGGAGTATCTGAGTTCCAGTGCCAGTTGCACTCCCAATCCTAGCTTTCTGCTAAGGCAGACCCTGGGAGGAAGCTGTGATGGCTCAAGCAATTGGGTCCCTGCCACCCACATGGGAGACTTGCATTAGGTCTCTGGCTCCTGGTTTTGGCCTGGCGCGGCTCCAGCAGGCATCTGGGAAGCAGACCAGTAGATGGAAGCTCTCTGTCTGTCTCTGTCTCTCAGTGTCTGTTTGCCTCTCAAATAAATGCAGAAGTAAAACATTTTACAAAGCATGAAGGAGAGCTTAGTTGGCCAATGGGAGACAAGCCTGGGAAGGGAAGGGCACTGTGTGGAGGAGCTAGGCCCATAGACAACATTTGTGTTCACCATTAATACAGTGAGGGCTGTTACGGTGCTTTAGTAGGGAATGCTTATATCAACAGTTGTTTTAGGGGATTTAGTTTGCAAATGTCTTGGAGGGGAAAGAGAGAGGACAACGGTAGTCTACCCATAGTCTCCCAGCGCATTCCAGTTCTAAAGGGAGGCAGGACTACGGCAGGGTATTGCCAGCAGTAGAAAACCAAAGGAGGAGAAAACATGGGGAAGGAAGCATCTATAGAAACATAATAATTGGGGTTTGGGGCCCCCAAGAAAAAGGTCCTATTTGCAGGTTTTAAGGTTATTTAATTCCTCCATCAACAGTGAAGTTATTCTTTGTGCAAGTATTACAGTACTAGGGGGAAAATGTTAATGTATTATCTACCCTTCCTGGAGTCAGCTCTTTTCAGAGAACAACAGAACACTGGCTGGCTGCTTGGCTCAGATGGGGAAGAGCAGAAAGAGCCCCTCTGGACGGCCTGGCCTCTCGGGGCATACAGAAGGTT